AGAACAAGAAGGACGTCCAGCAGTTCCTGGGGTTCGCTAATTTCTACCGCAGGTTCATTCGGGATTTCTCGGCCCTAGCGCAACCCCTCTTCGCTCACCAAGAAAGACCAGAAATGGGCCTGGGGAGACGCCGAAGCCGCCGCCTTTCAAGCTATCAAAGACGCGGTCGTCTCAGAGCCCGTCTTAGCGATCCCGGACGACTCTCGGCCTTTCCGACTTGAAGCAGACAGCTCAGATTATGCGACGGGGGCGGTTCTTTCACAACAATCCGCCCCGGACGGGAAGTGGCACCCTGTAGCGTTCTATTCCAAAAGCTTAAATGATGTCCAGCGCAACTACGAGATTCACGACAAGGAGATGCTCGCGATCATCCGCGCACTCGAGGAGTATCGGCATTTCCTTGAGGGCGCCGCGCATCCGGTCGAGATCTGGACTGACCATAAGAATTTGGAGTATTTCCGAAAGGCACAGCACCTTAATCGTCGGCAAGCCCGATGGTCGTTGTACCTTTCTAGGTTTGACTTTACGCTGCACCACGTCCCAGGTCGCCAGATGGGCCGTCCCGATGCTCTCTCCCGCCGGCCTGATCACGGCATCTCCGAAGACAACTCGGATGTCACCCTCCTACGCCCCGAACTGTTCCATGTTCGCTTGAGGCCGTCACCGTCTCTGGGCCTGGCTCCGAACTTGTCCGCGACATCAAGGAAGCGCTATCCGGTGAGCCTGACCTAGAGGAGCCTGTCGCGCTTGTGGCCCGGCAACTCTTGAAGGTCCGAGGTCAAGTTCGGGGCCCCCGCTCATCACGTTCGGACGAGTGGGCCGTCTTGGGCGATCTCTTGTACTTCCGCGGCAAGGTCGTAGTCCCCAAAGACAAGGACCTAAGGAGGCGCATCATCGAGCTCTGCCACGATACGCGAGTCGCCGGACATGCCGGGCGGTTCAAGACCTTAGAGTTGGTTTCGCGCAACTACTGGTGGCCGCAGATGTCTCGCCATATCGGGCGCTACGTCGCGACCTGCGACTTATGCTGCCGCACGAAGGCCCTCCGAAGGCTTCCGCATGGAGAGCTGCATCCAACCGAAGTCCCCCCCGAGCGCTGGCACACCGTCACTGTGGACTTCATCGTCGAGCTCCCCGAGGCCCATGGGTATGACGCGGTTATGGTAGTGGTTGACGCCCTCGGGAAACGCGCTCACTTCACCGAATGCCATACGACAATAGACGCGGTCGGAGCTGCCCGCTTGTACTATTGGAACGTCTGGAGGCACCACGGAACCCCCGAGAAGTACATTTCGGACCGTGGCTCGCAGTTCATCGCTGACTTCACGCGCGAACTCTGGCGCTTAATTGGCGTCAAACCAGCTACCTCCACGGCTTACCACCCGCAAACCGACGGACAAACCGAGCGCATCAACCAAGAGCTCGAGCAGTACATCCGGATCTTCACCAACTACCAACAAGACGACTGGGACGAGCTTATCCCTGCCGCTGAGTTCGCCTATAACAACCACGTTCACTCCTCCACTCAACAGGTACCCTTTATGACTGACACTGGTCGGCTCCCCGAATGGGTTTCGAGCCAGGCGCCCGCTCAGAGTTGGAGTCGGTGAACGAGTTTTCGCGATCGGATAGCAAACGGCGTCTCCGAGGCAAAGGCCGCGCTCGTTAAAGCCAAAGACGAGTATAAACGGTACTACGATCGGAAACGTTCGGACGCTCCGAATATTCAAGTTGGTGATAAGGTTTGGTTGGACGCCTCTGACATTAGAACGACTCGGCCCTCCGAGAAGTTCTCCCACAAGCGCCTTGGACCGTTCAAGGTGCTCGCAGAGGTTAGCAAAGGTGCCTACAAGCTAGACCTCCCCGCGTTACTCCAAGCTCCACCCCGTCTTCCCCGTTGTTAAGCTCGAGCCCGCTCAGGACGACCCCCTTCGATGGACGACCCGGCTACGACGAACCGCCCCCGAACTAGAGGACGGAGTTCCCGAATGGGAAGTCGAGGAAATCTTGGATGCCAGGATAAGGTATAAGCGTCTTAACTATTTCGTCAGGTGGAAAGGCTACGATGCTTCACACGACTCGTGGGTTCGGTTCGACCGTGTCTTTGCGCCAGACAAGATTGCGGACTTCTATCGGAGATACCCGGGTAAACCACGGCACATCGCCTCAGCAACCTTCAACTCGCTGCCCTTCCGATATATGCGTCGGGACGCCCGCATTCAAAAGGGGGGGTGATGTCAGGGGAACCCCCGCTTCGGCCTCCTTCGGACCCCTCGAACGCATCCGAGGCGCATCCGACCGGCGCCCCTCGGACGCTCCGACCCACCCCGACCATCGTCCATGGCCTCCTTCGCCTGCACAATCACCGATCCGTCAAGACCCTCCCAACGATCACCTTGGGACAGAGCCTGCGACGCCGCTCAGGCCTTCTGCACTCTACGTCGGCAGTTACGGACGACCAGTATATAGTTGGCGCCCTAGCAGGCGGACCCTTAGAGTTTCTTCTCTTTGGATCCTCCCCTGCTAGGTCGGTCCCTCCGTGTATTTCCCGTAGTCTTATTCACTCTTTGGATCCTCCCCTGCTAGGCTTTCGTCGGAGTCTCCAGGGTTGCCCTTACACCCGGCCAAAGATAAATCTGCGCAGGAGCTTATTTTGGCATGGCACCTCGATGCACTTACTGATGACTTGGCTCTGATCGCCTTCTTCGGCAGCTGTTCGATGAAACGGGCTGAGCGTTGTGCAGAAGCCAAGCCGACAGCGCTCCAGCTCACACTCGCCAACATCGATACACTTTTCCTCCATAACTGGATGCCTATGGCTGGCAAGTCTGCCCCCTGGAGGGCGCTCTTCGCTGGGCTAAACAATCTTCGGACGCTCGTGCTTATCGGTGGCAATCGTAATAAATGGGGCCAATCGGTGCTGCCGCTCAGCATCGCGTGGGCTCGAATCCGTGTATGCAAAATCAAGAAAGATGTTTTTCGCTTCCATGAGCCGTGGGGGTATCATGAGCTGGATAGTACATATGGTGCCAGTATGTGGGATCGGACTGTGGAGGAAGCTTTTTGCAGATATATAGCAAGAAGCAAGGTTGTCTGGGAACTAAAATTTTAGCTGCATGTAATGACAGGTGCAAGGGGTTTCCAACATCTGAAAATTGGATATACCATTGAATAGTATTGTCCAAGGGGGGAGGTCAAGATTCTTATCAGGCACATGGGGGGGTCCTGGGGATAAAAAAACTTGTTATACATGAAAGATTTGAGCCTTATATGGGTGTAAAGACACTGAAAATATAGTGTCTACACTCTAATTTCTATAGTTCACAACCACATTACTCTTATATAAGGCAGATGTCGTGTGAATGTATGCACATGCTTGGCATTAGCTTTTAACACTTGATTTGCTCCAGACTTCCACTTTTGCAAGGGGGTCCCAAGATCCTTACCATGGACATGGGGTAGGGGGGGGGGGGTCCCAGGGGGTGGTGAAAAAAACTTTTGCTATACAAAAGTTTGGGGGGGGTTCTGAAAAGCTGTAAAATATGACCAATCCTAATTGGGATGCAGAGCTGTAAGTCATGTCTTGCACCCAGTACTGTGAACAACTTACAAGTTGTTCTTAAGGTTATTTACAAGTAAATATTCTCAAATTGCCCACAAATTGAGAAATAATTACAAATGTTAGTGACTTGTGTTGCACTGACAAGCTTTCTCACTGGTGTGAGAAAGAACAAGAAAAGCAAGAGCCCTTCAAACTGCTCTAACTGCAACCAAAGGCTACAGCACAACCAGAGAGGGAGAAGAAGAGGAAAGACTTTGAACTGTGGGGGAAACTCTGCTGGGAAACTATATGATATGATGTGGAAACTAAACTAGAGACAGGCTTATATACACTACTAACTAGGAGCTAGGAGAAGGAACAGGAACAGGAACTATAAGGAACCATATAGGAACTAAGGAACACATAAAGGGAGAGATCAGGAACAACTACCAAATATGAACAAACAAACACAAACAAGCAACAACAAGCTGAAGGCTTGTCATCCCCTCCCAACTGAAAATGTGACCGTCCCTGGTCACTCACAAGGAGGTGGAGCAGAGAAGGGAGACTTGGTGGAGGTTCATGGAAGATAGTCTAATTTTCTGAAGCCATCAAGTCGGTGCCAAGGGGGGTTCAAAGTTCGAATCACGGATATAGGGTCGGAAAGTTTTTTTCCGACCCCCCCGGGACCCCCCCCTCCCCCCCTCCTGCCATATATAGTAATATATTCTCACGATCAGCGTCATGTGACCACTGATGCGATCAAAAAGTGGGATAAAAAATTCAATCTTTGTGAAACTTTTTTTTGTAAAAAATTTATACATGTGTATGTGTATATGTGTAGGTATGTATGTACCTAGAGCCTTCCAACACACACATGGCAGGCCATATCAACACTCCAACATGTTCACCTCTCATCAATTACCTGATGCATGGGCCTCTGACGGAGTGGGCTATCCAAGTGCATGGGCCTGAAAGTATATAGATATAAGTAATGAGAGTGCTGAACTATAGAAATTAGAAGGTATACACTATATTTTCAGTGTCTTTATACCCATATAAGGCCCAAATCTTTTATATACAAAAAGTTTTTTTTACCCCCCAGGGACCCCCCCCCCTCCCCCTACCCCATGTGCCTGATAAGGATCTTGAACCCCCCTTGGTCGGTGCGAAAGAAGTTGCCTGTCACGTGGTCGGACAGTCACGTGTCACCCACGATAAGCGTCGGAAGTGGGGTTCGAGGACCTGCAGTGTGGCAGGTTGACAACCAGAATCCCATACATCAGTTGGCTGTTCATTTGTTGGGCAGTCCGACAGAAATGGTGGGAAGCGAGCTGGACAGAGTGGTGGAGAGGCCGGATCGGGAGTTTTTATGTGCATAAGGGAAGCATTCTGCGGTCGCAGAGAGGCCGACACGGTTTGCTGAGGAGATGTCGGAAAGGAGGATGTTGAGTAGCAGATGATATCGGGAGCTGTTGCCAGGTTTGCCGTCATTGTGCTAAGACTGTAACTCGCCGTTCGTGCAAGTGTTTGCAGTAGAAGGGTGGCCGGACGTTCGGGGGCCTTGTCCGAGGCACTCGTGGCAGAATCCGCGCGAAGATCGGCCTTCGGGCGGCGGTGATCGGTGATCGCCGGCGATAGGGCTGTGCACTCCTTTGCTTCCGCCCTCATCTCCTCTCCTGCTCGTTCGCCGCCATACGGGCCTGCAGCACGCGCTGCTCGATGGCGATCACTTCAAGACGCCGTTCGTCGCCCAGGGACGACGATTCGAGGAGGGGAACTCGGTTGGGAGTGGCGGATTGGGGAAAGACGTCGACCACAAGCTGTGGGGCGTTTGTGGCTTCCGCGTGCCATCTCAGGACGCGTTGGCGCAGGTAGGGGAGTCGTGGGTCGCGAGGTGGGTACCGACCGTTCGGTAAAGTCACTTTTCCTTCGCTGTTGCGGCTGACCAGTCCGTTTTGTAGGTCTTTGCCAATCTGCGGGCAGACGCGAATGAAGTGTGTCGCGTTGCCACAATACGAGCAGCCGGGCGGGCGCAGGACGATTGTAGGGCTGGGGACCGCGTGGAGGAAGGTCTGGACGGCAGGCGGGGCGGTCGGTTCGCGCATTTGGCTGGCGAGGAGGGCGACAAGTTGGTTAACCGAGGTGAGTAGTGATTTCAAGTCGGTTTCGAGTTGGCTGGCTGATTGCGGCTGTTTAGGACCTTGCGAGCGCTCAGAAAGGAGCTGGGGAGCTGGCGGGGGCTCTGGCAGCGAAGACGACCCCGCGATAGGGTGCTGTAAGTAATTATTCAGCTAATACTTACACCTGTTTCTAACAGTTTTTAAAAACCAGCCTGTTTATAAACAGTTTTTAAAACAAATGTTAGAATACCTCGTCATCAATATCATCATCAAACACTGCCGCCGGGGTCGCCTTTTCTTTGCCCTTTCCACCTATGACCCCGCTCCCTACCGCCTTCTCTGCACCAGCAACAGGTGCATCACTGAGAAGATCACGGAAGAATGCGTCGCTGATGTCCGCAGAGTCCTCCGCTTCAAATCGCGTCGACTCAAAGCTTGGAAGCAAGGCAATATCAGCCAAGACGTCTGACGCCAAGCTGCGGGTGTTGAGAGCGTGGAGACCCGCTGCGACAGCATCATTTACTCCGTCCTCGGAAACCCTGATGTTCGGAGAAGGCTCGTTCTCTGCTGAGAGATCAATGACTGGTAGGTCTGACCCCGACCCACTTGCAACAGGCGGCAGTGCTGGCTCTACCGCCTCAGCAGTTGCGAATGCTGCCTTGACTGAACGCCAATTGAGGTGTGGCTGGACTGCCGGTTTGCGCTCTCCATCCCGGCGACAAACCTCCTGCCGCACTTGGGTGAGTGCGACGGTGGTCTTAGCATCTTGGCGATTGCGGTCCTTAGTCGACAGCTTGGTGAAGACCGATACTGTTCGCTCCTCGGGCATTGAGGTGGGCATTATGGAAAAGATTTTGAGGGCAATATACTAGGACTCATTAGTTAACATCTCGGAAATGTGCCGCTACTCACCGCTAAAACAGATGCATCCGCATCATCAAGGAGTGCACGCCAATAGAGATAGGCACGCGTCCATGCGGCATTGCGTCGGTTAAAGGGAGCCCGCTGTCGGGTGAAGGCCTCCAGCTGTGACCGCAGTGCAGCAATAACTGCCTTGCGGTCAGCGTATGGTGAGAAAACCTTCGATGACTTAAGGTTTGGCCGAGCCTTGAGCTCCGCCTTGAGCTGATTGACAAGGAAGGTGCCCACAGCCGCATACGCAGGCATCTTCCGACGCAAATCAGCATCGCCATCCTCCGCTGCCTGGTTGCCCGGCGTGGCTGATGATGACTCTGTAGGAGAGCTGACAAGTAGATTGCCGGAGGATCGTTTGAGGACCGTACTCGTGACATACTCTGTGTGCTACATTAGCTATTGGACAAACTATGCAATATGCGCGCTGAGTGCTTACGTGGATCAAGGAAAAAGCCAGCCAGATACGCGTCGGTGCTCCCGATAAGCTGCTGGTATCGAGCATTGACGATGCGCCGAATGGCATCCATGACATCGTCAGGAATGGCCAAGGCATTCTCTGCGAAATTGTCCTGCAAAACGGCAGTAATAGCGACGTAGAACTTCCACACGTCACCCAGCGTGGTCATCGAGCCCTCGAGACATTGGATAGCGCGTGCGATGGGCTCAAGAATGGTGACAAGCTGCTCCAAGTTGAGCTTGAAGGCGTTGTACAATGGTACCTTCCGGAAGAAGCCCAGCTTTGACTGTTCCTGTTGGTCACCATAAGCGTTGAGAAAGAATCAGTATCCTCGGCTTACCTCGGAGCCTTCTGCACGAACAACGCCGAGACGGATAAGTTCGTGAATGGCGGGAAGATTACGGAGAAGAGCGTAACCAGACCAATACATCGTACCAAAGCGGGTTTTGCCTACAGTGACCAGTCCTTTCGTGATGTCCATGATGACACGAAGGGCCTTGAGATGAGTGCCAGCATAGGTGGACGTCGAAAAAAAACCGATAACGGTCCTCATCTTCTCGATACCCTAGCAATAAACATGAACTTGAATATAGTGCAATAGAATGAGAGCAGATGTCGTACCTCTTCAAAATGAGCCAACTTACAGATATCTTTTACCAGGTTCGAGAGGTGATGAGGTGCGTCAGCGAGAGCGATGATCGTTGGATACTTCTCCGCGATAAGCTCACGGGCAACGCGAGTGTTCCCCGCGTCGTCGGACACCAGAGCGGCGAATTGAAGCGGGCCAATGTCATCGATAACCTGAACAACAATCAGCGAAGAAATTGTGAAAGATAGCAGTTTCATACACCGAGAAGAATGTCCTTGATATGCTCACCCGTGTGTGAATCGCCGGATGACTCGTCGGCAAGCATAAGGAAGGATTCGCGCAGCTTTGGCGTAGTAACATGGCCGCTGTATATTGACTGTCCGAAAACAGTGGCCCCGTCATATGACATGGTGAGGTTGCCGATTGTGCGGAGGCGCGTGGAGTTCTTCATCGTAATCTTTGCTGCCTCACGATGGACATAGTCGGCCATCGTTGTCGATGAGAAGAGGCCGTGGTAAGGGTTCAGATGCTTCACCAGCTTCTTGAACGAATTCTCGTCTACGTGGCGCAGAGCGCGCCCAGTAACAGCCAGGAACTCGAGCAGATACAGGTTTGCCTTTTTCTGGAACTTGGCAATGGCCTTTTTCCGTTCGTCCTCCCCCAGGCCGCGAAATGGATCGAAGTAGGGGTTTTTCGACATGCCCGCCTTGGCCTCGTTTTCGTCCTTGGCTGTGGCGTTACCCCCATCATCGTCGCTGCTCGAAACGTCATTGGAGAGCGCGTTTTTCGCGTTGGCCACCGCCGCCATATTTCGCTGTTCTGCTGAGAAGTATGGACATTTGGCGGCATGAGGGAAGACCCGTCCGGCCTGGCGAGGCTCAGCCCAACTCTCGTGACAGCCTGGGCCGGCGCAGCGAAAGCGCTTGTAGGGCTTGCCGGTTTTGGGATTAAGTGACTTCGTTTCGCAGGGGATGGTTAGTTCCTCGAGAGTTGGGTCTGCGGCCCGCCCGCGCTTGCTCCGTTGTGGTGGGGGGATGTCGATAAGGTCGTCGAAGGGGTGATTAATCTAGTCTTCAGGTAAGCAGGATGGGTAACAGGGAGCAATGACGCACCGAGCCTTGACGGGTGAGCTTTGCTGCAGCTTCAGCAACCATCTCCCGTTGTTGTTTGTCGTTCTCCGTATCCAACCGCTGACGTTTGTCAACATTCTCCTCATCCTCGTCTTCCTCCATCCGCTGCCTTGCGGCCGTACTTTTTCGTTTACGCTTCTAAACGGACATTAGTGTAGGCTTAGGATCCGGAGAAGGGACACACCTGCGCACCACACCGCTCTATTGCATCCTGTGCCGCGGCGGTCAGGTCATCCACCCATTTGATGAGAACGACGTTCTGTCCCGCTGGCCCTGTGATGTACTGTCGCAAGACCACAGTGACTGCCTCGAGCCCGGGGCCGCGGGACTGGAACTCGATCAGCTTTCCATCCACGCGACTGCCAAATGACCACTCGAGATCTTGATTGACGACACTTTTCTCACAGCCCAGCTCCATAACTGCCTCCTGCCGAAGCTCGTGGCTTGAGAAGTCATGTGCAGTGCCGAGGGGAATTGACGATGGAAGACTTTTGAGGAGGGCAGCGAGGTTGCGGATCTCGGGGCCATAGTGGAGTGCTCCGAGTAGTGCAGCAGTGATGGGTGGTTGGCGAGCACCAGTTCGCGCTTTCGCGCCGGACTTCCCTCGGGATGTCGACATGGGAGGGAAAGAAAAAAGAAGCACTTGGGCTGTGCTGATGCTGTGCTGATGTGATGTCATCTGACACGTGCCTGTTTATAAACACCCCCCACCCTAATTAATTAAAAACTAACACCGTTTATAAAAACATGTTTTTAACTGGTTTACAAACCAGCTTAACTTACAGCACCCTACCCCGCGAGCACGAATCTTGCCGCGTCGTTGACAAGCTTTCTCACTGGTGTGAGAAAGAACAAGAAAAGCAAGAGCCCTTCAAACTGCTCTAACTGCAACCAAAGGCTACAGCACAACCAGAGAGGGAGAAGAAGAAGGAAGACTTTGAACTCTGAGGGAAACTCTGCTGGGGGGAAACTATATGATATGATCTGGAAACTAACTAATGAACAGGCTTTTATAGACTACTAACTAGGAGCTAGGAGAGAGGAACCAGGAACTAGGAGAAAGGAACAGGAACTACAGAAACTACAGAAAGGAGCAGGAACACAGGGAGAGAAATCACAATGAAACACTCAACTAAGCCCACTACCGGATATGGATGCTGACTAAGCTCCCGATCACGTGACTCTCGTGACGAGGCTCGTCATCTCCTCCCAACTGAAAATGTGACTGTCCCCGGTCACTCACAGGGACAAGGAAAACTTGAAAAAGCAGGGAGAGCTGAACGGGTGGATATAGCCAAGGAGAATGCTCAGTTGCGTGGATTAGGAATAGATGAGGGTGGGGGAACATGTCAGTCACGTGCAACGCGAGACAAGTACGTCGTAGCGGGTGTTGGTCGATGAATGAGAAGCGAGTGATGATCACAATCAACAGTTGTGCAAAAATTTTCTTGGTTCGCATGTGCGTCATTCTGAGCAGATTTGGACATCGGTTGCTGTTGCGGGTCGAGACAAGTCATCGTTGTAATGTCGAAATTGTCTTCATTCGTTATCATGTAAGGCGCATCACGCGTTACCGCGTGATCGTTGCTAGAAGGGGTCGAAAGGGAGGAAGGAGGGTACGAGATGTTGTTGGTATCTAGCAAGATCGTTGCGGCATCTAGGGAGGCATGGGCTGCTATTGGTGCAACGGAGGTGGTTGCTGGATGTTCGGGCGGCGCGGAAGCTTTCGGGATCGGGAGATCGGAGTGCGGGCGGTGATCGGGCACGGTCGGCGATGCGGTAAGCGAGGCTGTGCTGACAGGTTTTGCTTCCGCCCACATCCTCTTCTCTGTCTGTCTCGCTGCCATATGGGCCAGCAGCAGCACGCGCTGCTCGGCGGCAATCGACTCGAGACGCTGCTCGTCGCTCGCTATGAAGGGCTGGGAGCTGGGAAGTTGGATGGGAGAGGAGCAGTGGGGAAATACTTCGACAACGAGCTGTGGGGCGGTCGTGGCTTCCGCGTGCCATTTCAAGAAGCGCTGGCGCAAGTAAGGGAGTGCTGAGTCGCGAGGCGGGTACCTGCCATTCGTTAGGGTCACCTTGCCTTCGCTATTGCGACTAACAAGTCCATTTTTCAGGTCTTCGACGATCTGGGGGCCGGCGCGGATGAAATGCGCCGCGTTGCTGCAATACGAGCAGCCGGGTGGCCGCTGGACAGGCGGGGGGCTTGGGATGAAGTGGAGGAATGTTTGGACAGGTGGTTGGGCGGCGGGCTCGCGCGCTTGGTTGCCGAGGAGGGCGACAAGCTGTTTAACCAAGGTGAGCAACGATTTCAGCTCTGTTTCGACTTGTGTGTCGAACTGCAGCTTCTCAGGACTTGTCGCGCGCTCAGAAGCGAGGTTGGGAGGCAGCAGCGGCTCTGGCAGCGAAGGCGACCCCGCCAGCACGAATTTTGCGGCATCATATATGTCCTTCGCGTCGTATGGGTCGTCTAGGTGGATATTTGGCCGCAGGATTTGAAGCCGTTGCTTCACGGCGGCTTGCAGCGAAGCAGGTTGGAGCGCACGAAGTAACGCGCGACTTTGTTCAGTCTCGGAGAGGCGGTTTTTGGCGGTTAGGAACTGGGAAATGCGAGCGAACGTCCGATAGAACATGGCGAGGTCGTTTTCGGAGTGGATTCCGGCTTGAGCCGTTGAATGGAGGTGAGTTTCCCAATCTTTTAGTGTGTAAAGATTGTCCTCATCGTTGCCTGCGTAGAGCTTTCGGACCGCAGTCTTGAAGTCGTTGTAGGTGGCTGCGGTGTCGCCGAACTCGTCGATGCCCTCGACGAGTTCTTGATCATCGACTAACAGGTACCGTGCGCAAGCTTTCTTGCGCTGTTGTTCATCACTAATCTGCGCCAGATCGAGTAGGTATTCGACATCCGCGAAGTAGCGCCGGAGCTGTGTGGGCTTCGAAGAGTCGAATGTCGGTGCGGTCAAGGCGCCGCGTGCAGGCATTGGGATGGGAGCGGGAGCGGGAGCGGAGGTTGTTGCCATGATGGGAAGTGAAGCGAGACGTGAAGTGCGAGGCGCGAGGAGCAAGGTGGTGTCGGAGAGGAGAGGAGGTCGGAGGGGTGCGCTGAAGCAGGGGTCGAAGCGGAGAGGGAGGGAGTTGGGGTCTGTAAATCAGGTACGGCTGTAGTAGAGGAGTAATAGATTGATTTTTGAGATGTTTACGTAGCTGTGCTGTGGGCCAAGAGGCGCGTTGGATGCAATTTTGAAGTACCCTCGCGGTGGGCTCCAAATGACATGCTTTCTCACAACAGTGAGAAAAGACAGGAAAATGCCAGAGTCCTTCAAAGGGCTCCAACAGCAACTAGAGCTAACAGCTCAAGAGAAAGAGAAGGAAGAGAATATAATAAACCAAACTACTCTACTACATGCCTTTTTATACTAAAAGCATACAGGAGAGAACTCAATACCAGGAACAGGAACTAGGAACAAGTCCGGAAAGGCGGGACCGACGGATCAATGCTGACTAATCAGCCTGATGAGCCTCGGCGGCTCGTCACCTCCTCCCAACTGAAAATGTGACTGTCCCCAGTCACTAACTGAAACAAGTAAACAATTCAGAACAGAGATCAAGGAAGGGGATGGTAGACTTCATCAAGTCTGGAAACTTATCCAAAGAGGAAGTCCCAAAGCAACTGCACCACTGCCTGACCAGGCGATCGATTGGCCTGCGAATCAGCGAACAGTGCGAATGCAGATCAGAAGGTTGATCCGGATCGGAGGAAGTGGCCGGACGGTCAAAAGACTGTTGAAGGTTGGAGAAATGCAGCTGAGTGCAGGGAAGTAAGCGATATGGCTGTGGGATTGAAATGGCAGGTGTCGAGGGAGCTGTTCAGAGTATGGCTCGTTCGAGTGGAGATCCGCGGAGGTGTCGACTGTGGAGTGTGGAGTGCAAGTGTTATAAATCAAGGCATAAATTGTAGCATCTGGAAGCAATGAGCAGTGGCATTGAGCACTGGAGGAGAATCTGGGTGTGTGGAGTCTGAGGAAGGGAATGGATAATTTGTGGTGCAGAATCGGCGTGTTTCGGACGTTCTCGGACGTCATTTGCGACCGTCGTCACGCATCAGTCACGCGTCATCTTTTGCTTTCGTCTTCCATCTTCGTCGCTGTACGCGGACAAGCACCCGGATAATCGCGCTGAAGACGACCACGAGAGCGGCTGGGAAGCGATACTGGGGTGGATGGGAGGTCCAGAGGGGCCAGGATCGAGTAGGACGTGGAGGAATGGAGCGAGAGGGGCTGATCGTGGAGGCGGTGCGATTTGGCGCGGGAACGACGAAGGTGAGTGGTCCTCCGTGATCAGGGAGCTAATACTGAGGATGGAGTCGTAGAAACGGGCCACAAGCAGTCCGCTTTGGCGTTGGGGACCGCGCTGGAGCTACACAAAACGTCTTGGGCGGTTTTGTCGGCGGGCTAAGTGGGTGAGACAATGCCCCGGCCGCCGTTGTTCTCAGACGCGAAACGGGGCGCTGGCAGAGGAGTGTAGGAACGGGGAAGGGACAAATGCCAAAGAATGGCAAGGCTTCGCGTTTGTCGGCAAAGCGGTGCGCTTTTCGCGCGGGAAACGACTAAGGTGCGTGTTGGTTGTTGACAAAAGGGAACTGAGACTCTGGAGCCAAAAACAGGGCCGTTCGCGAGCCCGGTTGCTCAAACGGCGGTAGATGCGATGGATGGCGGCCTATCGGCTCGGAAGAGGGCAGGGGCTCGGGCTGGTCGAGTAGGGGAAGAGGGGACAGAGTTTTGAACGATGACGGACCGCGCAGACCGGGTGAGTCCTAGTCCAACGATTGGCGGTCTCGCGCTGACATGTGTGTGGATGTGGCGCGAATGGAGACACAAGCGAGTGACCGTTGGGCTGGCCCAGTTGTTGTTGTTGCCATAGGACCGAACGACGCGAGTGTGGCGGAGTGGAGACATGGGCAAAGGTGGTAGCGTTTGTGGGCAGTCTTGCCAAACGAGCAGATGGCGAGGGACGTGGTACGTGCTTGTTCAATGCTTATGGCTGGTGCTGACCCTAGTTTTTGGATGCGAGCGCGCAGCCGCAGGCTATCCAGGGGTCAGGAGTTTGCAGGCGGAAGCGGCAGTGTGCAGTTTCGGATGGACTAGCGTTGCGGTGAAGGGTGTCGTAAAGCGTAAGCTGTTGTGCTTGCAGGAGCATGTGGGTGGATGGAGGAAATGAAGTGGTCGGATGAAAGGCGGATAAATAGCTATGGTCGATAGTTCAATATGACCATGAATGAATCAAGTATGTTGAGCTGTCAGCTGTGGAGTGTCGGATGCAGTTTGAAGAAACCCTCGCGGTGGGCTCCAAAATGACAAGCTTTCTCACTGGTGTGAGAAAGAACAAGAAAAGCAAGAGCCCTTCAAACTGCTCTAACTGCAACCAAAGGCTACAGCACAACCAGAGAGGGAGAAGAAGAAGGAAGACTTTGAACTCTGAGGGAAACTCTGCTGGGGGAAACTATATGATATGATCTGGAAACTAACTAATGAACAGGCTTTTATAGACTACTAACTAGGAGCTAGGAGAGAGGAACCAGGAACTAGGAGAAAGGAACAGGAACTACAGAAACTACAGAAAGGA